GTGTTACGGAAGATTGGATTGACATTCTTTTAAATTGCTGTGCGACCGAAACATGGAGAGGAAAATTAATGGCAATGAGAAACTACTTCTTCCAACATAGAAACGTAACACTCGTTCAGAACATATTATGTGATAATAGCAGAAAGATTTACGAATATTTCTAGGAAAGTTTTGGACCATTGGGGAAACGTTAATTAGGGAATGAGAAAAAAGCACTGGTTAGTACGAGCTGAGCCTAAACTGGAGAGGAAATAAATACGTAAACAATGGATAATTAAATCAGTAATTTAAGTTAGTAAACTGATAGGTACATAAGTCATCAAGTGACAAATAAATAAGTAAATCAATAAAAAGGTAACTATTAAATAAATCAGCACATTAGGGGGTAAAGAGGAGTCAGTGTTTGAAAAGTAAGCACAGAGATGATGCAAGGACGATCTACGACATTGTTTGATTTCAGGTGCTCAAGAGGCCAAACTTTGATAGGCGAATGTGTGACGTTTGCGCCAGGATATAAATAATGAATTTAAAAAATGTGTGGTAGAGAAGCATGTACTGGCTTCTGAAGGCACGTTTTTCCTCCTTCAGGGATTTTTTCCTCATCCGCAACTTATGGTCTCTTTTTCACGGATTTGATATAATGGAGAGACCAATTGGGGGTGAATATCAGAATTCGAAAGGTTAGAACGCGAAGGATATACGTATTGTAATGGCTTAAAGGCCTTCAGCCTAGCCACGTAGTATCAAGTTATTTAATTTATTCTGATGTTTGTTTAAGTTGCAACATACTCTTAAAGGAGACGTACTATTACAATGCAATTTAATCCACAGAGTAGGAATATCACAATTTACAAATGTTTAGAATTACTGAACTGTACCTACATCTTGATTTCGAACATTTAGTGCGGTATGAAGCCGCCACACGCTGCCATCCGGGCCTCTAGACATCGTGTTACGGATTGAAACAGAGCATTCTAATGCTGCTGGGGAACATACTACCACGCGGTTTCTATGCGTGGCCACAAAGCATCGACAGTGGTTGCAAGAGGACCAGAACGAACTAGTTGCTGACCGATCATGCTCCAAACATGTTCGATGGGCGACAGGTCAGTCGAACGTGCAGGCCAGGGAAGCAGTGGTACCAGTCGTTATTCGCAGAAAGCTTGCACATTTCTCGCCAGATGAGGTCGGATATTGTCCTGCAGAAATATGGCAGGTAGAGCTGCTTGCAGGAGGAGCATTACCTCAAGATCTAACATCTCCCTAATGTAGCTGTTGCTTTTCAGATCGTCTTCAATACATATGAGTCGACATTATCGCACATTGTAGCCAGCGTCGCCCAAACCAACACATTTGGTGTTATCCGCTATTGTGCGGAACAATGCAGGTTGCGCGGTCATCGCTGTGCCAATTGAAGCGGGATTCGTCCACATTTTGTCACTCGAAACATCAGTTACCACATTCACGTGCCCATCGCTGTCTGAGGCTAGGGTGGTTTCTCAACAAAGCAATACGACACAGTGGTATGCGTGCCACCAGTCCAGCTCTCAGCAGTCGCCATGGCGTCGAAGTCGACGCAGACATGACCACACCCGTTGCAATGCTCTAAAGTCGATGAATGCTGTGACAATGCCGTTCTGTCGGTTACGTCCATGTGGACAAGATGGCGGTCATCTCGCGCTGTGGTCACATTGTGTGGTCCGCTCGTTGCTCTATACGACGAAGCTTTAAGCTCCCGATTGATCTCTCGACATATGTATTTGTGTGGTGCATGTAAGTATGCGTTAAGTAAGGGGTGAGGATAGGACAAGGAAGAGGAAGGAAAGATCGCGCGCGGTCCGTGACCCGTTTGTAAGGGAACTGCTCCGGCATTTGCCTGGGGTTGATGGGAGAAACTACGGAATAATACTCGTCAAAGTAGCCGGCGGCTGGAATTCTCCTCCCGACAGGGGCTGAACTCGACCTAACTGACAAGCTAGTGTCCAAACCCCTGCCACCGTCGTTTCCCAACTCAAGGGCCTCCCGGTCAGAGGATCTTGGTTCGAGGGGAGCGGGTAAGTCCTGATTGAGGTGGTGTCTTGTGCCAGGGTGGACATTCTCAATCGTCATGGATCAACGATTCTAAATTATTTCTTCTTTTCAATACTATCGTTTAACGCTGCAATAAATTAAACATTTTAATCAAAACAGTCGACGAAATAATATACGAGCAGTGTACTAGTATTTTTATACAGTACAAAAGTTATTTACATAGAAAAATCAAAATGTTCATCTTTTCATAACCCAATGGTGCACGTTGTACACCAACTTAGAATTTATTGGATAATACAATGACACAGTTTTGATTACTTATATGTTTCATGTTTGCCATTTATATTTGACTTTATAAATTTTCCATTTTGACTAAAAATAAATCTATTTCACTATTTTTGAATTTTTCCCGGGTTTCTGGTTATCTAACAAAATTATATACACCTTTTACATGGCTAGAGGCAGCATAGTTTTCAGTTTGTGCATTGGAAATTAGTAATGTGGATAATTTATTTAAAGGCTTTTCTTTGGATAATTCGATAATTCTGTATATTTCTAACGCACAGAAGAACGTAAGCTCCTAGCTAGTGGTTTCGTAGCGATCAGTTTTCCCCTTCTTCTCAAGTCGTACTTACTATAATCATGCTCATGATCAATATAAAAATACACGATAATCACAACAATCATTTAATGGTGATATTGTATTTTCTTTTGCAGAAAATTATCGCATGCCCGGCAATGGTTATTAGTGCACATCTCGTTAATGAGCGACCAACCTCACGTAAGTACCCAGAAAATATTTGCGCATTGACTTTTAATTTTCTCGAGAACTGATGTTTGGAAAAAATATTATGACGGATTTATAAACATTCGTTTAGTTGTGTGAGACGTTGTCATCGTCAATTATAAATTTTTCTTTATGTGCTTCTGTATTTGTTTGTATAATATATTCAGAAAACTATAATGAGTTTGATTTTAAATTATTTTACGTCTCTTATAGTGAATTAATGAGTTCTTATGTGGAATTAAAAGCTCGTTAGGTACGTTTTGAACGATTACATGGAATGTCAGAACAATTTTGAATGTTTATAGATGTACAATTCAAACAAAAAATTATTGTAATCCAAAAGAGAAAACGAAATAGATATAATTTGTATTCGTAAGATATAACAACGTAAGATCAATTTCATTACATATCATTTTTTTAAATGAGTTAAACGGAAACGTAATATAGAAATCAAATTACTTTTAGACAACGCAGTATACTGTAAAATAATCAGTTATTAAAAACATTGCCCTAGGAAAGTAAAAAAGTGTTTGAACTGACAGAGTATTTAAAAGTTAACAAAACGTTAAATTTTATTTTCAACACAAAAGTAAATCTCAAGGGGAAAAATATCCTAGAATATTTGTTAAAAGCTATGAATATAAATAACAATATGTATGCATTTATATTTACATACCGTAATAGACTTGTAAAATTTCATTTTAAAAGTGAAAAGAAACAAATTTTAAAAGAGACTATAAATAGAAAGCAATTGTTCATGCATAGGTGATCTATTTCATGATTCTATTTGCACACAAATTGGTGGCAATGGCCGGACCTTTTTGCGGATTTCTAACTGTGAAGAATAGTGAATAAGTGAACTTTGGATGGCACTGTTAATGCCACATGCTACTATAAAAATGGCTGCTTGTTTTTTGCATAACTTTCAGTGAAAGCAAATAATGTTCAACCAGCATTTGCACATTCTACAAACGTCGTCCTGCTTAAATATGCCATATTTGTGTTTATATGTATAGCTACATCGTGAAACATTGTAACGAAGCCCTAAAAAATTTCTTTATGATCTCTATCTTTATATATCTATCATGATCTATATCTTTACTACTTTCGTCTATATTTGTTGAGAAAAAGGGAAAAGTTGTAAGTATCCATTGCATATGACGTTCACTTACACTGTATCTCTGAAATATAGACCGAATGTTCAAGAGTTTCTTTCTACATATCATCTCATCATTCGTTCGTAGTTTTGAGAATCTCATTTCCTTCACAAACATGCGTCATTTTAAGTCAGTAAATTGTTTTAAAAATGTTATGGGCAAGAAGGATTCTTTTCCCGAAACAATTTTACATCTCCTCTGACGGATCTGTCTTCATAAAGATCGATGGGTTCTGCATTATTCTGTTTCCTTTGAAAGTTCTTTAAATGCTTGGAATTCACCAAATCCATAAAACATACTGTTTCACAAACTAAATTTCTCCGAATAAATTGTTCCTATAAATAAAATGCTTTTCATAAGACGATGTTTAAAATTATTTTCTAAAATTATAATACACAATCAATAATTTGGAAATGTATTATAAAGAGTATTATTTCTTAGTTTTAAATTATATCCTTCACAATTCTGAAGTCGTAAATCTTTTGCGCCTTTCAAAGAGTGCTTGAAATAGTGGAAGTTCTATTTATACTTCTCGTGTGCTATAATATTGATTCAAGTGTATACTGTCTGGAATTTGTAATGGAAAACACTGTTCGATTACAGTCAGCATTGATAAAAGTAAATGAAGTCAGTACAAAACGGGTCAGAAGATTATAAACATTGAATATTTGAGTCTCAGTATTAAATGTGAGTTTCACATGTAATTAAAATGGGTTATTATAATATGTTCCAAAAGCAGTGTGTTCTTACGGTTTGTTTGAAATCGTCAAAATGTTTATTATTATTTTGAGAGTTTAAGAAGATATATTTACGCTCTTGAATTACCTCACCATATAATATTCCATAAATTTTCTCAAGAATTTAATATTTCTAACATAACTAAGAAGAATTAGGTACAGGAACAGATAATATTCACGTTTTTTCGAAACTTATATTCTGTGCGTATGTGATCTTTCGTTTAATACTCTTCGTAATCAGAAGTCTTTTTTCCTTTCTCCTGGAAAAGTAAGAAAAATTACTTAAAGTGGTGTTTGGAATGGAGGTCATTATCATCCTTTAATTTCATTTAATGACCGTTACTTCAAATTTGATACAGAGACCCATTCTATATTTAATTGTACTTCGCTGTGTCACAATGTTATTGAATTTCTATGTGTTACAAAATTAGATAAATATGTGTAGTATTTCGTTTATTGTTAAAAAAATCAGTACTTGTAAAATTAACTGTATTAAATATTTTAAATTGTTAAAGGCAATGATATGAAAGGTAATAAAATGTATATTTTCTTATAATGTAAAATTGTAATCAAATTGCGATCATTTATGACGAAATTGCACAGCGATCTAAAATAAAATAAATAACCCTCACCTTTGACGGCTTTCTGTAGCCTCCCCTTTGAGCTGCTTTGGGGCTGTGCGGCCGCCACGTGGCGCCTTGTCCAGCAGGGGGCTGAGAGGAGTGGAGGGGCGGCAGGAGGTGCCCTCTGGGGCGATGACGGACGGTACGACGCGACCAGGCAGAGGTATTGGGCTGGCGAGGGAGGCAGGTGCTTCAGGGGCGCGACGAGGAAACAAGGAAACCGGAAGAGACATTCAGGTGTCGTCAAAACGAGGAGATCGTGGCAAGGCCCTGAGAAAGGGAGTGCGAGGGAGAAAGCAAATACCTCCCACTGCAATTTCCATACTGTGACGTACAGCCAGTTAAAGTACAGTTTATTGTAAGATTTATTTGCAATCTGTATATCTACAGGGGAAATAGCGTTAACATTTAATGCATCAGTGCCCATCACATAATATGCTACAAGCATATTACAAATGGTGGCAAATCGTACGCATAATCAAAATATAAATATAAAAGCTAATTTCCTGAATTTTTTAGTAGTCCTGCATCTAAACTATTATTTAAGAAATATCTACCTAGGACATTATAATCCTCATTTTTGGAAGGAGTTTCATTTATTACATTATTTCTTTGCATTTTAAAATAAAACACAATTTGGAGTATTGGGATGCAATGTGCTTTAATTTTCTCCACTGATGTAATTATATAATTTAAATATTGAATTAGCAAATGTACCTCCAAAGACGAATGTAATGTGTCCAAATAGGTTTGAAAACAGTTTTGTTGCTAATAATTGCTTATGTTCTTTATTAGATAGTTAATCTGTCATCGCAGCAACAAGTTCCATTACTACCACAATTGAACAGGTAGCAGCGTCGGCAGATTCGCAACCGGCAGGAACGAGGGTCGACGGTCGTGGTCTCTTGTCAGTGGGTCTCTTAAAACAGGCACACCACTAGACGCGGTCAGTGCACTCCATAGCACTTCTACAGGGAAGAGGGCGGCCGGCAGATCCATAGAAGGGTACCGAAACCACATTATACAGTCTGAAGACTGCGTAGTGAGAATAGGGAGAGTCTGAAAAGGAGTGGGGACGGAGAGTGTTGTTGGGAGGCATGACGGTGAGGTGTAGGCAACTGCGCTGCCGTATTAGGTGAGATGGCATGACGGAGAGTCCTTACGGGGCGTCGGAGAGTCCGTACGGGGTGACGGAGAGTCCGTACAGGGTGACGGAGAGTCCCAACGGAGTAACGGAGAGTCCGTACGGAGTGACGGACAGTCCCTAAAGGGCGGGGGAGATTTCGAACAGGGTGAAGGAATGTCCGTACATAAATACGGAGTGTCCGCAAGGGATGACGAGAATCCAGGCAGAATTTGGGGCGCGGGAAGTGTGAGGGCGAGACAAAATTCGTGTGTGATCTCAGTATGTAGTAGGAAGCGCGAGTGGCGAAGAGACGGGTCAGCGAGGAGGCGGGACAGAAGGCCGGGAGATCGAATACACGCGCGAGTCCGCTCCTACCGAACGGTGTCGAAGAGGCCGTCTGCAGCCGCGCGGTCGTTCATCCCTTTATGGGTTGTTGTCGACTTTATTCCTTTCGACACCGTTAAACGCGTTCCCACTCCCCGCGCGGCCTTCCGGGTCGCGAGAAAGGCACTCACCCCTCCTCCTCCTCCCATCACACCGCATCCCTTTAACCCTTCCTCCCCCTCCCCCCGCCCGCCGCGCGTTATGTGGCGATTAAAGCGCGCTCCAATCCACCCTCTCACCTTTGCACGCCGCAAGTTGGCCGAAAGCCTCGTTATTACTTCGGGAGTCGACGGGGGCGCCCGAAGAGCAGGTAAACCGCTTCGGCGCCCGCGGACGCGTGCGGCCCTTGTGTTGCACCATAATGAACCAGCTTCACTTTCAGATGGTGATTGTACTCGAGTTTAGAGATATCCGTTCCGGGGGTGTAACAAATTGATTCATTTTCTGATTTTTTTCCGCGTGCGACAACGGCTACGGTCATTAGTCCCGTAAGTGTAGTGTATGCTTTTATCGAGAGGTGGTGGAAAATGTTCCCTATTGGATGGCGACATCCGCGATCTTCACGGCTGTTTGCGACGTTTTCCTCACCCAGTTATCTCCACTAATGATATTTTTTTGCTCTCTGTGTACCCAAATCACTGTACACCTCGAAGAATTTGGTTTCGTATAAATCATGTGGATTGCTATTGCCTGTCCTATAAGCCAACAAGCAACTTGAAGCTTTCCGTATGTTAAAAACTACTCTCAAAAATTTTCGCTTGAGAACGGTATTAAGATGACGGGAGCCGTTTATTTCGGCAGTAAAACAATTATTTTCTTTTGTAAACAAGCTTCATAAAAAAACTAAGAACAGGTAATTTTAAAAGGATTTCTTCAGTTACTCCAAAATGTACACATTTTTAGATGCCACTATTCTCGTGTGTCAACGACATCCATTTAAATCAAGAATAATTTAACTAATTCAGATCCAGATTCTAAAGAGTATGCAAAGTACTCTTAAAGCGCATGAGGGTGGATTGTCTATCAGAGACATCTTCAAAGTTTAATAATGGAAGATGTGTTGTGTTCAGTTTGAATGACACGGAGTAAAAAAGTTTCAACTTGATATTGGTGGTGAGAGGACGAAAAAGTTTTAAACAGTTTTGGGCAATGCACACTATTGTTTTGTCCATTTTAATTCATGAGAAAACAAATTGATAAATTGATAAATTGATAAATTTGCGATTATGCTTGGTAATCCCTTTGGATAATGTGGAGAGGACCATGGACCCGTAAATGGTGATGAGAACACGAACCTTTCAAGTTGTTTAAACCGAAGCAGAGACACAATCTGCAACATTTTCAGTAATTTTAAGACGGACCTTTAACCGGCATGATGCAGAGATGAAATACTTTTTAAGCTACTTCCCCGCATTGACGTTGCAAAACCAAACGGTATTTAAAAAAAATTTACTCTGATTGCACAATGTGGACACGAACAACATTGTCTGAAGCGATACGAAGTTGACTAATTGAAGTGTTTAACGGAGGTTCAACATCTAAATGCGCCGGACTAATGCGGAGAAACATTTTGTAACCGTGTAGTGATACGGAATTCTGTTATCCCATTTGGAGAATGAGAATTTGTAACTGCTTTTTCGTTGCAGTAATTAATCGTTGAGAAAATTAACCTTGTCAGCATACCATACAGACGAAGTTCGTCATTCGCTGGGAGATAAAGTGGAGACTTCGAGGAAGCTACGAGTGGAGAAGCTAAGTCTTCTGGACATCAGACCTTCTAATTGAGTCGATCATCTATTAATATACTGTTATTTTGTACCCCTCTAAGAGATGAATAATATTTGTTTTTGTTTTTCATTTAGTAAA